ATTTCAGCCATTCGTAACTGAACTGAACACCAATACATGGTTGAAGGCAGAATAATCCTGTTTCATGTCACCTTACTCAGCTGCTAAAGGAGGATATTTTCATTCAAGCTGCTCAGAATGGTTTTCTGCCACCTGAAGAAACATTTTCATTTCTAAGTTGTAATACAGAGAAAACAGAAAGGTAACTTAAATCTGGTGAGTCACTAAAAAGCTGTACTTCTCAGCAAGCTTGTATTCCCAACAGTGCTCACAGCTTCTGCTTAAAGTAGCTTTTAAAAAAGGCACTCCAGAAATAATTATGACACAAGTATTGTTGAAAGAAAAATTAAAAAAAAAAAAAATCATAAGAGAAAAGGAGTGGGAGGAGAGATAGGGGGTGTGGGAGAAAATGGGGAGGGGAAGAGGGGAAAAAAAAAAAAAAAGAAACCAGAAGGGAAGTAAACCACGGAAACAATGGGCTCAAGCCAAGGATCACTATTTTTGTACATTAAGTTTGATTTTAATTTTCCATCTTCTATTAACTTACTATATAAATTTTCATAACTAGATTATATGCCAAACACTTCATCAAATGTATTAGGTAAAATATCACAGGCACCCTATTTTATCACGAAAGAGTTTGCCTATGTATTTAATATAAAATAAAATAAAAACAAGTTGCATGTTCCTGACAGACTGCTGCTGTGAAAAAAATGTACTGTCAATAGCTAAAAAAACTGTTATCCCTAATTACATGCATATTGCAAAGCTACATGAAGAACTTTTGAAAAATACAGATTTCATTATAACTTGGATGGGACAAGCAGTGAAGTCATTGTTCAGATAAATGTTACGTTTTCTGTATGTTTGTGCCTTCATCACACCTTGCAAATAAAGCTGTGCTTTGTAGGGCAAAGTAGGAGGTCTGATGTAAAGTGAGGATCCAATTAGTGTGCAAATTTGCATACTACATTTGGAGAAAAATATTATTACTGCAAAATATATATATATTTCATATACACTCTACAAGAACAAGAAAGATATCCTCTAAAACATAATACCTTGAGTGGCTAGTTCTAAAAGCATGTGAATGCTGATGGAGCAGAGTTGGCTGTATTGGACTGACTTTTGGCTAAAAATGTTTGAAGACAAGTATTCTGTAACAACATTCTTTCAGATACCAAAATACAGAAGAAAAAAGAAAAAAGACCACAATCAAGTTTTTTTCTTTTTTTTTTCCAATATTATTATAGAAACAGGTTTGGGTAATTAACATCACCGTCACTCTGTTCGTATTGTGCTACATAGCCTACCTACTGCTCAATCAAAGAATTCCATATTTTTAAAATTCTTTTTAGAAACTACAGAACTTTAATTGCAACTACTTTGCACCAGATTTATATGCTAAACACAACATAACAATGTTGATTTTGCAGCAGTACTTGTTGAGACAAAATTCCCAAGAGATTTCAAGAAACTCATCTGCATAAGGATTGTAGGGTGGTGCACGCAGCACCTTCTGAGTAATCATTTTAACATACACATACTACATCATGTAAATTCATTTTGTCATTTTATATTCTTGGCTTAGCTTTAAACCTTCAGAGCGAAGCCAAAACACGTAAGCATTAAAGAGCACAACATAAAATGCTGTAGGCAACAACCTTGCTCAAATCTGAAAGAGATGGAAATTAACACAACACATACACTTTGTTCATGACTCTTATTTTTGAGGACATACTTATACAGCATCAATTCTTCTTCATGGATACCATATATACTAACACAAGTCAAATTATTTCATTATTGCAAAAAATGTTTCAAAATAATGTTTATGTATTTATATATATATGTATATGAAGTAATATATGTGCTAAGTAGTAAAAAAATTGTAATGTATACACTTAAACTATGAAATTCAGTGAAAACTCAGGCTTATTTTCCAAGTCAAGTCACAATTTTTTTTTAAAATGTAGCAGGAAATTATTACATAATGTAAACTAAGAAAGCATGTAACCAGTGCATTATAAATATAGTATTAACATGACATTTTCTGACATATGCTTTAGCCACTGGAGATTTATCTAAAAACTCATTCCATTAAGTTGACTGCAGATTATCAGCACTAAATGCTTTATAAAAACAATTTTTGGGTATGTAGGCAAACAAACTAATGCTAAGTAAGTCTTAGTTTTGTAACTAAAAGCAGCCAGATTTGCATGAGCAAAAGTGAAAATGAGACGTCTCTCAGTTTCTTGCTATAATGCACACAATTTAGATGTCAGCTGCAAAATGAAAATGTCTTGCACTACGATGATATTTTATTTATGGATTTATTTATTTATATTTTTATTTTTAAAATTCAGACTCATGCCGTGGAGCCAATCATATCATCTTCACACAGCCATGCTTACAAGGCCATCATGCTCTCGCACAGCAATGGCAAGATGGCATCATTTTCTCATATTTTTCTGCCACTTCTGACTGGAATTATCTAAATCAGATATAGATGTTCACAAGCTGCTTGCAAACTGTTGGAATCCTGGCTTCCAAGCTGCAGGAAGAAAGAACATAGTTTCTATGTTTTTCCTGCTTTATAAAAGGAAAAGTGTACTTTTGGCATATGCTCCTGCACAGAATAAAGATTTACCAAAAGGGAAAGAGAGGCTTAAACATTAACAGTGGACCATAAATATTCCTTTCTACTTAAACTTCTTTTCTGAAAAGCAGTGATTTTAAAACTAAAAGAAGGTACACAGATAAAACAATCTTAGTTATCTCTGTTCAGATCCTACTGAAAAAGGCATCCAAATCACAAAAGCTGCCCTCACAACTGGCAGCTCAAACTGACATCAGGGCTGAATGAGTGTGGAAATGGAATTATGCCCCCTCTCCCTGTAGGTGATCCTTATAGATCAGCCTCCCAGAGGGCTGCTCCTCTGCATGATGCATCTGCTCAGCATGCAGAGTCCTTCAGATTGATGCTCGCTCAGCATGACACTATTCAAGAGAGTAAATACCATTTTAAAAATCTTCCCTTTAAACAGTAATTTAAGATAAATGTCTATTTGCAATAGACATTTGCAATAGGAACTCTCTTTGCAGGCTCCTGCTAATCTGATTTAAGTATGATTTTGCTTCCACTCAGGAAGCTTAAATTAATTTAGCTGTTCCTGAACACTATTACAGCAAGATGAAGTATCCAGTGGCTCACAAATACAGCTTCTAGTTCAACCGCCACATTTGCTGTACAGCCAGATTATGCTGATTTTTTTTTCCCTTTTTTTTTTTTCCCTTTGGCTACCATTACACAAGGGATTTATAATATTACAGCTATCCATTACATTCAGTTTTTAGATTTGTGCAAATTGCCTAGAGACTAAAAGGCAGAAGAATCCAGATCCTCATGCATGCTAAATCACAGGCTATGAGAAAATCTTCAGTATATTCCTCATACTGATGAGACTTTGTCAATAATGCACCCCAATACTAAGAAGCCTGACCTGATCTTAGATCTCGCTATTGCCTGCTTTCCAACCCTGTTTGTAGTAAATACAACAAACTTTAAATCCAACAGAACTCGTCAATTGAAAAAGAAAGTTATTAGCATTTCATTTGCTGCATGGAAGCTGACATTCTGGAGAACAAATACTGTGATCAAAAGTCCAAAATAGATAGGCAGTAGTTAATGAAGCACAAACTGAAGCTTCTCGTTGTTTTTCAGAATCTTGCCAAAGAGCGTTTTCTTAGATCCAAGGCTTCCAGAGTTACAAGGACGGCTTCTTCATCAAGTCTGTTTGAAACAAGCAAGCAAAAAAGCCCACCACAAACAAAATCCATTATTCTTTGAAGTTTCCTAACTCAGTGAATTTTATTCCACTGTCCCTTTCAAAATGAATGGTAAATAACAATTGACAAAAAAATTGAGACAAGTTGTAAAGAATGCAAGGGATGTCTAACAAGATGAAGAACACTTCAGAGGGTCCTCCTCGTATGTCAAACCTACTTCACTAGCACTAGCAGAATGGTCTGTATAAAAAAAATCCTGGTGTGGCTAATCTGGTTGGATTTTTATCATTTAAATAAAATAACAAGAAAACTAACAAACAAGAAAAAAAGAGAAAAATACCTATATGTTTCTTAATATCAGTTTGAAACAGGTGGTCATAAGGAATACCTAAGTATCATCACAACAATCAACATCTTAAGTTAAATTGCTATAGATGACAAGATTTTCCTTGCTAATTTTTCATCTAAACTCACAGATTGCTATTTATGGATGGCAAATGTCACTTGATGTTCTCTTTTCTTTACAGCTTTCTTACTAAAGCAAAAATTCAACATGCAGTTCACGAAACGCCTTAAGATCAAGCTGGCTATGCTCCTAGTAATAAAAAATAAAAGTTGCAGTAAAACCTGATATCTGTCTAAAAATTACACCTTAACTCCTCCCCCCTAAAACAAACAGGAAACAACACTATTACCTAATGTCTGAAAATTCAGAGGATATATTCATTCATGGAAAATGTTTTTGCAAGTGAAATGAATAGAAATTATTTCCTCTGTTTTCCACACTGTAAACAAGATACTCGAGCAACTTCTTAACCTCTGCCTTCCTGGAAATAGCTTTTTCTTTTTTCTTTTCTTTTCTTTTCTTTTCTTTTCTTTTTCTTTTCTTTTCTTTTCTTTTCTTTTCTTTTCTTTTCTTTCCTTTCCTTTCCTTTCCTTTCCTTTCCTTTCCTTTCCTTTCCTTTCCTTTCCTTTCCTTTCCTTTCCTTTCCTTTCCTTTCCTTTCCTTTCCTTTCCTTTCCTTTCCTTTCCTTTCCTTTCCTTTCCTTTCCTTTCCTTTCCTTTCCTTTCCTTTCCTTTCCTTTCCTTTTCTTTTCTTTTCTTTTCTTTTCTTTTCTTTTCTTTTCTTTTCTTTTCTTTTCTTTTCTTTTCTTTTCTTTTCTTTTCTTTTCTTTTCTTTTCTTTCTTTCTTTTTTTTTTTTTAATTAGAGAAAGCAAACATCAGTCTTGAAACAGGTAATCTGATTAGTATTAAAATATGTACAATAAGACAGAATCAGACACTCATGGAGAGGCATACTACAACAGTTTCTAGTGTGATTCCCTACTTCCTCTATGCATTCAACTGTATTTTTCAAAGAAGTAAGTTTACTTGCAAGAAGCAAATTCATTGTTCTCTAATCTGACTGTGTAGTTGTAGAACCACATCATCTTTCTGACTGTTCACGTGGCTATGATTGTAAATACAACACTTGTGACCAGTTCAAAATGCAGACAGGATCAAAGGGACTGTACAAAGGCTGCCACATCAGAGTGACAATTACACATTACGTCTCTAACATTAGGCGGATACTTTCAAGGCCACAGCTTTCCTTCAACATCTTCTTTGTATCAAGCTCAGTAACATTTGAAGTAAACAGAAGTTTCCTTCTCAGGAACGCAAGCCCTGGTAATTTCAACATCTGCTCAAAGAAAAGCACTGCATTGTTGCTTTATGTCACAGTAAAAGCATTTGATTTCAAAGACTACAAACAGAAAGTCTTCTGCAAGATGGAAACATTAAGACTCATTACACTGCATTAATTTGGACATTGCTCAAGTCCAGGCTCGATGGAACCGTGGGCAGTTTGATCTTATGGGTGCCCACCCTACCCATGGCAGGGAGTTAGAAATGGATGGTCTTTAAGGTCTCTTCCAATCCAAGGATTCTGAGATACTGTACTTATGACTCCAAGTTCTGTAATACAAGCCAAAGATGAAAGAGAGAAGTAATGCACATAGATGCGTGCTGTGCTACAGGTTAAAAGTAGCAGGCATCTGTATGTCTCCAGATGATTGCATTCTTACTGTGCCCTCTTGGGAGAAAAAAAAAGAGGAGGGGGATGGGGAAATATTTCCCAAATAAGTATATTTCATACTTGCTCATTATACGCCTGAGATCCAAGGGTCACAACATCTCCTGAATGGCTTTCTGACCTCCTTGTTCTAGCTCCCTTTTGTTCTCACATAGTATTTGGCAGAAATAGAAAGCACAGTCAGCACAGTAAGGCCACAGGCTACATAAACTTGCTGCAAGTGGCTCAGAAGTGTCTTTTTTTGGATTACTTCTATGACTGCAACACTCACTAGCCAGTAGCTAACGAATCAGGTTACTAATTTAACAACAAAATTATTCCAGAATGTATAAAACAAAGCAGCTTCCTCTGTTAAGTCAGGCTCAGTTGCCCTTCCTTGTATTACTGCATCTATGTGAAATGCAGCACACAGCAATTATGCAGCATGCAGTCACAGCAAGCTCTTTGAAAGCAGCCATCCTGTTCCACAATCATGTCATGCCTTCACTTAAAATGGATATATAATATTTTTAATACTGTGTCTCTGTAGAGACAACAGAAAAAGCTACAATTACACCATTCAAATGATATTACACCTCCTATCAAATAAAAACCATAAAGGTCCACTAAATTTATTGAACATATTACTTACAGGACTTATGTTCAGAAACGCACTGATGTCTGCAACTGCAATCCACAGTAGTCAACAGCAATGTTTTTTTCTACATACAGGCATGTAACAACAGTTACACAGGGAAAAAAGCCCAACCTTAAAATCCGAAAAACAAATCTGAAAAGAAAAACAGCTATGGTGGTCACTTATTGCAAAATGCAAGAAGAATAGTCTTAACCAGAATACTATGAGGTACTGCCTACTTCTAATGAAACACACATGATACTGAAATTAATTATATCTGTTTTGAGAGAAATTTGCAACAGAAATGTATTCCTCAGTATAGATTCACAACAACTAAGAAACATTACTTCAGGAACTTGCACACCTCACAGTTTGAAACAGCTGCAGCTTTCATATTTCATCTGATGACAGTATCTTTAGGACTTTAAGGCTGACAAACACAAGCAAGTAAGATGAAAAAAAAAAAAACCAAACAAACAAGATATTTTTAAATGCTCAGAAACATCTCTTGATCTATTCCTAGTTTGCCTCCTGACCTTACAATGGGACTAAGAAGACTGAGGGAGAAACTTGATAGACTCACTTTGTTTCTCCTCATCAAATACCCAGAAGGTATCTTGCCTCGCCTTCACTTTTCCTTAAATAAACTTTGGCTGCAAACTAGAACCACATTTTTTTTAATACCTCTTAAAAGCTTCCGGAAACAGATAGATTGTAGTCTTCTGATTACATGGTGGGAGGAGAGGCAAGGAAAGGCTACAAGCTATTAATCCTGCCAATAAAATCCTGAAGCCATAGAAACCTTATAAATCTTCCTAAACCTCATTTTGTCATTCAGTTGCTAAGAGCAATTTCTGTTCGTTTGAAATAAAACGTAGGACTCTGGCCCTTTGCTACTGGCACTGTAGCATGAATATGAAATGATACGAAAGCAATGTATTTCCTTCTCTGAATATATACAAAAGAACATAAAGATACTTAAATTCCACTTGGCACTGCAGCCATCTCCTACAGGAAAACTTTCCATACTAGTGCAAATACCAAGAGGTGCACACTCCCATTACATTGCCACATCTCAGCAGCAACCACAGAGTCAGACATCTGCTGAGCTGCCAAGGTCCTGGGTGGCCAAGAGGTCCAAGTCTACTGCAGTATGTGCTACGTACAGCCTCCTTGCCTTTTAAAAATCAACACCATGAGTGGAGGAGCCTACATCCCTTGTAATAGAAAGTTTCACACAAATACAAGACTCCAATAATTTAAGTGAAACACAGCAGGGATTTAATTTTGATGTTTAATTTACTATGTATATAAAGGATCAAGAGTTTAGGAAAACAACAGACGAACTTTACATTATTTAAAGTAAACAATTTGCATTCTCCCATACTAGAAAACTAACATGTTTGAAAACTGATAAACATGTTCCACTATTCTCTATTCTAGAGCAAAATGACACTATTTGAAGTTGTCATGCTTAACTAATTAGCAAAGCAGAAGGTCCTCTTTTCAGTCTTAAAGCAAAATACAGCTCAGACACAATGAATCAAATAAGGTAGCATACTTACAGCAAAAAATCAGCAGTTTCTAAGTTGATTCTAATTTTTGACTTTGTATTAGACTGATAAGAAATATATTTTTAAAAAAATATGATTTTTTCCCAAGATCTTAGAATCAGAATCATAGAATTGCTCAAGTTGGAAAAGACCTTAAAGATCATCAAGTCCAACCACGACTAGAAATCTGGAGAGTAAAACTGCTGATTTCAAATCTTTTAACCTATTAGCAGATATTGATATCAAAATGGGATGTAAGATTGCATATTTTTTTGCTGTTCACAGGACTGTGTTTAGCCAATGTATCAAAATGCATACAATAATTTGCCACAATATGAGGTTGTCGTAATTTAAGTTTCATTTTGAATACTGTTATGGTTTGAAACACAGCACAGATAAATTGATATTCATCTTGAAGATGGTTGTTTAATCAATTTAAATGAACAGTCAATCTATCAGAAACATTAAATCTTTGAGACTTTTTCACCTCCAAGTTCTGATACAATTTTTCCTTTTCATTCCATACGTGACCTGATATGATTTTGTTAGTCATAAGATGTTAGTATTTTACCTTGACTTAGACACCTTCCTTCAGAAAAGTTAATGACGTCTCCATAATCAGCATCCATTCTTTAAAGGAACTCCTGGAATTCATGATGACTGAATCCATTGGACATTATGAAATTCACAACTTTGATCATGATTTGCACAACATTATTCATTTTTGAAGTTTTCACACATAAAGTTCCTTGATGTATGATAAATTCACAAATGTGAACTGTTGGTGGCAACTGTATTGCCTTCTTCAGAAGTTCCTGTTTTTAGACAGCCACACCCAGGGCTCCATCAGCAGCTATACCAGATATGCTGGCCAAGGTTAAAGAAAAATTACTTTAATGTAATTCCTACTGCTTCATACAAATTCAGAGGTTTACTTCTATCTTTTAATGGCACCAAGGACAGCATTTCTTCAATGACATTGTATTCGCTATCAATGCCTCTAATAAAAATAGCAAAATGAACTTTATTTGTAGCATTAGTATTTTCATCTATCACCAAAGCATAACATTTGAAGTCAGCAGTTTTAATCTCCAGATTTCTAGTCTTTTCAAATTGCAATCTTTGAAAGCTGACAAGATTTCCTGACAAATTAAGCATAGTACCATATTATTTGTCTCCACAAAAAAGTGCTTATCTGCCTCTTTTTCAATGAACACTCTTCTTTCATACATGCTGATTCTTTTTTGAGCTCTGTTTTCTCTCAACACAACATTAGCTAAGCTGAAATACTGTTAGCACCAGTCACTGTGTTTTACTCACCAAATGGCACAGCACATGTAATGTGCAATACACACAGGTATCAACACGACTGAATGTAGTGGGTATGAGAGAGGCAGCACTGCACTGAACCCTTTCCTCCACAGTGTTCTGTTGTCACCTATGCAGCCTGCATTTGAGCTAAAAATTACTAATAATGTTAAAAGTTTACAGTCTTGTGGGGCCATATTACTAGCTGTTGAGGGCAGCAAATACATCTAGTCACTGTAATTTTAAAAGGCACATATAGTGGATTACTGGAATATTTCAGTTTGTTCCCTGTTTAAGCAAGTGAATTTTTGAATATTTTCAAGAATGGGGGAGAATTAAAACCTAAAATGATTATTGATGTATTTGGGCATTTAAGTCACTTTTCATGACCGTTTAAAACAGTCACACTGTGACCAAGATACCACATGATCATTATTAGTAGGTGAACTAGAACACAAAACCACTGAGCTTCTCTATGAGTTGATTTAGTACACCAAGTTCTATACTGCTTTGTACCTAGTAAGAGTGTCACTGCACTCCTTAGGTTACATGAACTTTATATCAGTCTACAGTTTTGTAGGAGAAAACATATAGTGACACTTGCTTTAAATAAATACAATTCATTTCAAGAACACAAACGGCTTTTCATTAGAGGGAATATTGTATTGTAACTTTCATAAGGCAACTTTAAGTGAATCATAAAACACAGGAACATTGAAGCAAAATGTGATATGGAACTAAATGAAAGCTTTGATTCAAAATAGTATTTCACTGTCACAACTGATAGTAGACGTGTGTTCTACCCAAGACCTCACATTTAAACTCTATGCTCAAAAATAAATAAAAACAACAACAAAATGTAAAAGGCCAGGCATGCAAACATTGATCCAGTTGCTGCATTCCACATCAGCAAATGCGTACATACGAGGTTTGTAAAAAAATCACACCAGTTTCGGCTAAATCTGAGCTCTTCAGTCCTTCCCTCTTTTCCCCAATTTGAAAAATGACTGGTCCTTTGATTATACTACTATACTTGACTACAGTGGGACTAATGGGAACATGAGCATCACATGCCTGCAGTGGGTTTGGCTAATGACTGAAACCTTACAGATATGATGTCACTGAAGAACTGCATTGCCTAGATTTGAAATTGGCCCAATTGGACTAAATAAGCTGCTTTAATTCTCTCAGAACAGAGCAGAAAAGTGAAGACTGAGCTCCTGGCCCAAAAAGCAGAATTCGTTGAATCTTCAAGGTTTAATAGTTTTAGTTACTCTTTTTTTTACAAAGGCTACAATTTCAAAGCAAAAAATAAGTATTTACTGACAGTTAATTTGAAGGAACTTACAGTCCTAAGCAATAACACCTGAACTCGAAACAAGACTTCTAGCCACTGTCACCAATGAAGAACTGACAAACACTTCACACAGGCATGAGGTTAGCCGAAGGCCTCTAGAGGGCTACTGTGGCTACACTGGAGCAGAAGGGGCCATATGAGCAGCTTAAAACCAGCCAGCTCTTGCACATTTCCAAGTGTCAGCTGTGACAAAGGTAGGCATGACTATGTTCTCCTGGGCACACATTCCTGGGCACCCTCCTACCTAGCCTTAGGACTTGATAATAAAGTTTCAAGACACCTGAACCATAGCAGCATACTGGATGTCTCCCCCCTGCCTTGAGGAAAGTGGTTATGCATCCAGCTTAGCTTTTTAGAAATATCAGACAGGTTGTCAGTGGAACTGTGCCCACACCAGGCCACACACAATCCTACAGGCAGCAAGCAGGGACAGCTGGCAAGCATATTAGGTGGAGGAAGGAAGCACTCTGTGGGCGCCAAGCACATTCAGTGCAGAGCAATCCACATTTCAGAAGTCAGTTCACATCCTCTGCTGTCAAAAACCCCAAAATACGCACATTCTTCTTCAAGCCTAGGTATTCTGCTGAAGCTCAGATTGCATAGAAAAAGACACTGTACTTGCAGAGGACTAGGCACGGACTTAGAGGGATTTAAATGAGAGATGAGATTAATCATGCCCCTCCAGCTAGTAACAGCCAAATAAAAATCTGAAATCCCTGACTCTCGTCTTCTGTGTTTCAAGATCAAAATAACAGTATTATCAATCACTGACAGTTTTTAAAAACATTTTTAAAAACACTGTAAGCTACAGAAGTTATATTGAAATTAGATACAGATTGACAATTATGTTTCTCAAAACACAACATTTATTTACTCTTCAGGGGGAAGAGAAAGGAAGCAAAGCCAAACTGTATATAAATATATGCTGTGCGTTTTTTTTAGTGTATAAGCTGGTCAATAAATCAAGATCTTAGAGAAAGCTCCCCTAGCCTGAGAGGAAATCAAACGTGACAAGAGGTCTCTGTCAATTCCATTCCACTAATACTGCCTATGTTTCTTTAAGAAAACAGTACTTCTCCGCGTTTCATACGTTCTCCCAGCATTTTGCTTTCACCCACATGTTTTGCCTTCTCAAGCTATAGCTTCAGACTTGTATTTTTCCACTATGAACTGACATCAACTCAAAACCTGCTCCTTAACTATTCAAGGGCATGTAGGCACAAAAAATATTGTCCTCCTGAGCAGGTTGGGTGTGGTACTTGAATATTGTACATTCCTTCAGTTAATTGAAAATCATATCTCTGCTTTTCAAAGGCTTGGTAAACACATGGCTTGGCAAAAAGATACTGAGAAAAAGCCAGGAAAACCTATCTCAAATTACTTTGATTTCAAGTATGCTGTTAATATATACATCAATTCACAATAGAATTTCTGGTACTATATGCCAACATCCTCCTTTAAAACCAAGAAGAAGAAAAATCAAAAAGTAGGTCACTATAAAAATGTACAAAACTGGAAGAGAGACAAAATACAGTTCTTTATCCACAGTTTTACTAACTTCAGTTAATCGTATCAAAATTGAGATACGGATCCCCACAAATTAAGACAAACTCCTTTGTTCCATTTATTTTTATTTTTCCCCAATGAGACCAATTTGTGGCAATCATATCCATCCTGTAAGACAGGTACCATCTGTTGCTGACATGTATCTGTTCCACAATAGAGATCTGGGGAAAATTCTGAGCCTATACCAGCATTTCTCCTTTGTTTACAAAGGTACCTGGAAAATACATTTATGAAGCATTATCCATAGCTACAACATACATATTGTCAGAGACACTAGACGGTTTGAGGAGTTATTAAAATAGTACCAAATCGATTACTCAGAACAAAGTCAGCTGAAAATTAGGGGAAATAAAACATTTACATACTGAGATATGCCATCTTTGAAACAGCCCATTTCTTTCAAATGCTGAAAATTGATAGCTTTATCCTTATGGCTCCTAAGATTTTAAAAAACTTATTTAAAATTCATTTTTATCCAAGCCTACTACTTCAATAAATGTCAAGATTTGTCATCAATTTGTAAAAGCAGTATCTCACATACTTTTTATTACAACTTCAGTTATAGTCATGGATTAGCTCTTTAAAACTTCAGATAGCCTGTTTTTCAGTTGAAATTGTGGAAATTTCCAGAACAGAAAAGTATTCAATTGAGAAGGTCAGTTTCAACTTAATGCTGCTGACGTAACGGACTGGATATCACAACAATATGAATGCAAAAATAAAAAGCATTTGCATACAAGACTAAGAACAGTTTTGTGCACTTCAGCTTTCTGGAGTCAGCTCAACTATCCCATCTGAAATCACACAATGGACTAACATGGTGAACACAAACTGTTTTCTGTGCTGAAATGTCAGTGCCATCCAGTCCAAACTTCAAGTTGCAGGCATGCCTGTTTGACTGTGAAGAAATAAGACCTTTAAATGGTCAATAAGGGAAGTTTCCCTTGATACACTGAGGGCTTGCCATGCCATTTTATCCAACAAGCCTAACCTATCTCCCAAAAGTGATGGTTTGTTAATTCACTTGATGAATTATGTTTAGCAGATAAATGAAGTGTAATTTTAAATAAATACACAATACAGTCCCTGTACTCTAGATAGTTTGCATTCAGTATCACAGATAAAAAATATTTTTAACACTATCAGTAACACAAAAATATATAGTGCCATTTGCCAAAATTCCACATAAAACATCTTTTCTGAAAATTGTGTCACTATCAGTATGGGAGCAGCAGATGTGCTGTGCCATGGAGATGATAATTCATCTTTCTCCAATGCCCTTTATGGTGCCTCACTCCCTAAAAGGGCTTGCCATGCTGGTGTGGTCAGATTAAATGGTATAAATGGTATATATTAAATGGTATATAGCTTCATGGCTCATAGCCATGAAGCTCCTCACTGCTCTGATCTTAGCACAGAAGGTCAAGTCCATAATAAATACCAGGCAACTGAAACTGCACAGTTGTGGCCAGACATCCTGTTTGCCATGAATTCTATTTTAGATACTTTCATTAGTATTGGTATTAGTAACGGGAACTCCTGATTAAATCAGTTTGTTTGTTGTTATAAAGTAATTAATTTTTAATTAATTAATCCAAAAATACTTAACCAGAGATCTACTCCCATTTCTCACTGT